TGCAAATAATCAAATGCGATTTTCATGCGCATCTCGTCAGTAAAGCTGGTTCTGTGATTAGTAGTAAATCTCCAGCACATGCTTTCAGATGGAGCAGAATTTACTACACACAGCCATAGTTCACTGACAAGTTACGCAAAAAAATAAAATAAATAAATAAAATATTCGCAGACGATTTTATTGCGCGATTCTGAAATCGAAAAACTCGTTCGCGATAATGACAGCTGTTTGCATAGCTTCTCCGTGAACTACGGCTCTGTGAAGTAAATGCTGCTCCATCTGAAAGCATGTGAAAATACCACATTTAATAACATATTTTTACTCCAAACTCACTTCATAACGTCAGTCGAGTGTTTGAAATAAATCCTTCTGTGAGATGATGTGGCTTCTTACACAGAATAAGGCACGCAACATATTTCATAGTATTTAAGCAGTGATAAAGGCAATTGCATTATAAATATACTTTATTTTAATTAAAATTATAATAAGAACTCAGATAAACCGTATATTGCCGTAGTCGTGTGTTTATTAGTCACGTTGAATCAATGAAAGCAGTTGAACCTTCTGTTTATTCAGCTGCAGCGATAGGCATTTCCTGGGTTTCTTCTGCAAAGCGTATTTGGAGTTTCAGCGCGAGAGCGCCCTCTGGCCTTTGGATGGAGATTTACTGCTGATCACAGAACCGTGCTTCACTGAAAGATACGCATGACAATCGCAGCTTCTGTCGAATTGCGATCTCGATTCCATTTCGATTTATCGTGCAGCCCTATTCAGACACACTTAAGTCGTTTAACTCAACTGACTGACCAACAGACAGTGACTCGCGCTAACTTCCATATTTTAACCATCCCACAATGTCTCGTTCCAGGAAGCATCCATGGAAAAAACAATCCCCCAGCTGTTAAATCATTTGTCACGGGTTTTAACAAAAAACAGATATACTAAGAGCATAAAACATTGCCATTCCTGTGAAAGCAGGGTCAGGCATGTCTTCTATCAAAAACATGTTTGACGCATAAAACTTAGGTCCAGAAGGAAGTTCATTAATAATTATAATAATAATAACTTTTTTATTGTTTGCCATTTTATTGCATTTTTTATTGTTCTGTCGTGTTTTGGGTACGGTATGAGAAAGCACATTACAAATAATTAATGAAATATGGGTCATATTTCCCACAAAATCAAAAGAAATAAGATATTACATTTTGTACAAATGAATTTAAGCCTATTTTAGGATTTTATTTTAAATACTGTTAACTTATGATAATTACAAATAAATTTAAATGTGCTTAATTGTCATAAAAATACAGTCATGTTAAAAATATAATAAAATAGGCATTTTCTTTAAAGAATTATTTCTTAAAATTATTTGAATTATTTCATTTTTCTTTATTTACTCTTTTATTTTATTTTTTCAGTAAAATATGACTCAGACATTCCATCATATGAGGTATGGATCCAATAGGCCTTGAGAACTTGAGATTGATTCTGACAGTTTCTTTGGATGATTGATCGTAGTCTGGTTGTTATGTGTTACTAAACACTTTATTTCTTATTTACCTTCTCCTTCATCTTCTCAATCTTCTTCACAGAGCTCCGTCTCTGGTGTCTTTCCTCTAGTCGGATGTGAAAGACGGGATCTCCAACACGTCCGATCTGCTTCTCCTCTTGCTTCTCAGCCTCTTTCAGTTTGCTCTCGGCACTGATGCTCTCCGTGTGATACATATGGTAGGTTTTCATCACCTGCAGGACCCAGAGGTCAGAGGTCAAAGTTCAACAACAGCCAGCTGAGCTCTAGAGAGGTGCTGCTCGTCTGAACCAAAACACCTCCATCCTCCCACTTGACACAAATCAATTCTGTTCTCCTTCAGAGAAACTTTCTTTTGTTACGTAAAGCCAAAAAGTGCATATTTTTTTCTTTCATATACCTTCATTTGCATTTAAAGGGGTCATAGGATGCCCATTTTCCACAAGTTGATTTGATTCTTTAGGGTCTTAATGAAAAGTCTAAGATAGTTTGGTTAAAATGTCTCAATGGTAGTGTAAAAAACACCTCTTTTACCCTTTCAAAAACAGCTCTTTTCAGAGCACGCATTTTGTAGCATTTTCCTTTAAATGTTAATGAGCTCTGCTGACCCCGCCCCTCTCTTCCAAGCTGCTCTCAGAGAGACTGTTTACTTTAGCCGCATTCATCGTGAAACTTGCTAATTAGCACATTGTTAGGAAAGGCGATTTGCAAAGATTCATTAAAAAACCTTACACTCACTTCTTCTTTAGATGAGGCTGGATCACGAATGATTCACGAGAACAGACGCATTTATGTAGATCGGGGGAGCA